TGCTCTAATATGCATCTCCGTTAGACTTTTTGCATCACATATTCCCAAAAAATTACAATAGAAACACACACATTTGTGTGGAACTTTATGTTATGCTGAACCATTACATATATACGGCTCGTCAGGTCATAGCAAAATCACATCGTCGTTAAAGCCCAGGTTTTTGTGATAAGTACAAGTCATGTTGAGGTTGACATGACCTTTTGTAAACACTATTTCTTCGAAATATGTGATGTTCTGCCAATTGTGTCGTGCTAGATAAACGATGAAATGTTTCAAAAATTTGATGGAATAATTAAAACGTTGAAAAAAGTTTGCAATCTCTTACAGTAAGATATTTTATAAGCTATTTCCTATAATTTGACTAGCCCGCCACAACTATTTTGTCCAGAAAGATACGGTGTCTCGGGCAGAAGTATGATATTTTGACGTTGCGCGGAAAAGTTGTGGTAAACGCCCTATCACTGTGTATGATTTTAATTTGTGTTACATGCTTCTACGGCCTTAAAATAAGAATGATCTACAGATAAAAGTAAATTTAAAGGAATATATTTACAGTCTGTATATAAAACAGGCTATCCTAGCTCTGCAGTCCATATTTGTGGAAATAGGTCTATTTAAATTGGCACACACCCATAATAGACACCCATTCATAATGGTGCTTATCAACTCAAAAAAGTAAAAATAAAGTCAAATAAATTTAATCAAAGCACAGAAGGCGCTGAATTTGTTTGGGTCTCAGAATGTCAGAAAGGTGAAGGTTGTGAGATTATAAACCAATTTGTTTTTGTATAGTGCCACCAATGCTGTTTCTAGTGTTTTAACTGTAGTAAATAGGCTATAAGACTAATTGCAACACTGTTATTCAATTCAATGTTTATTTGACTTAAACAATTTTTAAAAAAAAATGAGTTGCCTTAACTGGGATTTGAACTCCAGACTTCTATCTTCCTAAGCGAGCATGCAAACCCCTCGGCCACGGTGAATTTATATGATATTGGCGTGAAGAAAACCACATTATTCTAAATTAGGGTTTGTAACCCTTATTATTTTGAAACCTGCTGTTTCACACAGATGTAAATAATCATGGAGCTTACTATAAACATGTATATCTATAAAGAATAAAACAATATTAGAAATCTTCGACCATTCGGAAACTATTTTGCTTGAAAATGAATGCGCCTGTCATTTGACAATCTTTACGCAGTGATCTCCCCTGAATTTTTCGGCGTTAGTATACATATAAAGGGAAGTAATCGCTTCAGCAAAGCGGACTACTTTCGGCATTTGCAATTAACAGCATCACACTCTGAAATTTCGCTACCATTATTTGTTTGGTCTGATGACCCAAACAAATAAAAATCAATAAACACTTTTTCATTTTTAAAATATCAGGAGCAATCACTCAGATAAGATAACATAATATTTTGCATTTCTATACTTCAGAAAATTTATTTTGTTAGCATTTTAGAAGCTTAAATTTTTATTTTCTTAAAGCCAATCAAACATGCTGAAAATTCTACTTTAATATCGATAAACCTGATATAAAATGGTGTATGCATAATTTATTGCACTTAACAATTTTATGAATGCAACCATTCAACTACATATTGCTTTTTCAAAATATTAACTTGTATAAAATTTACTAACAACCAATATTTAAGCTATGAAAAACACAATGCAACTTTAAAGGCCTTAAGAAATATATTATACATTTACTTACAGGTTTCTCGCTTTGAAATAAAAGAAAAAACAACAGATTTTTGCAACAAAATCCTTTTTCCTATATTCAATATTTAGCTCTAACTCATTGTTAATGCAGCCCTACGGCTCTTAAATGGTATCACTGGAAAAACTAAATCTGACGACTTTTTTTTGTAAACAGCCTAATCTGGCCTTTTAATCTTATCTAACTTTACTAAAAAGAGGATTTCATGCCTGACAAACTTAACTGATTATGAAATAAACCTTTTCATTCATCAGAATATTTTCATTCATTACCTAATGATAATGTTAATAAAAAATCTGAGAGAAAAAAAAAACACATTCGCAAATGAACATAAAATACAAAGTGATTCATTGAAAGACAGACTTTGACCATGTGTAAATTACAACAATTAAGTAGCTAATTGGTGAGAATTAGAACCTCCTGTTCTTTGAATACAACTTGTTAACCTTGTTTTGTACAATATCCTCTACAAAAATGTTCACTTGGTTTAATATAAAAAATAAAATAAAACTAGAGACGTCCATAAGACTACCTGCTCAACTATTCTCAGTGCTTGACAGTAATTAAGAGGGGTATAATGCTGTAAAAAGGTAACTCAGGAGTTATGGGACCTGTGCCCATCATGTTAGATAATCACAGAGAACAAGACAGTGTGTGAAGTTTCAACCCTTTCCCATCAATAGTTTTGGAGATACCAGCTTGCCTGTAAAACCATAACCCAAAGTTGGATGGTGAGGTCAACACCCATGCCCACACCTGAGCTCCCTATCTTTCTAGTTGAGCTAAAAATAGGATCAACAGAGCCTTGTTTCAGTAAGATTTTAATTAACACATGCATGTTATATTGACTTAATTTAGGCCAAATATAAATTTTTCAGCTTTACTGGTAAAGATCCCATTTGCTTGCCCGAACTACAATTTATCTTCTAAAACTGATACATTCTTAAACCTCCAACTTTCTAAAAGCTCCTTCAAAAGTTCAATCAATGGAAAAAAACTTCAAAATCTTCAACTTAATTTGAACCACAATAAGGTGGTGAGGAAAAAGTAATTAAAGACTACTTGCAATAAGTGGAGCAGGTGGTTAAAATATCTGTCTGATTGTTGTGTAACAGGCTTTGTCTTTTTCCTCGGAATTGTATTTTTACAAAAAAGACACCAATACTGTGTATTGTAGCTTAATTTGTACATAAAAAATATTTTTTAAGTTAAAAAAAAGCCCACAACAGTAAGTTGGCCACTTGTTGTTGAGAAATTTGTCAGAAGGACTGGAAATAATTTGAATACTGGTATTTTAATAAAGTTTTCTGCTTTTAGTTCATGAAATTGTTGTAAATTAGATGGTGGGTGTTTCTGTTAAACGCTCTGAACACTTTAATTCTAAGAAACCAGGCAACTATTTTAATGTACTATACATTGTTCTTTGAAACATCTTCTTGCTTCAAAAAGTCTGAAATATATTTTAATTTTTTTCCAACTTTTATTCTAAATATACTGTATTTTTACCACATTTATAAAACACTATACTTGTAGTGATGAAACTTTCACTTAGTTCTTTCTCAAAATATTCATAATAAGAGTTTAAGAATTAAGAAGACTAGGTTTTCTTGACTAATCTTGGGGTATGTGAACTTCCTCAGTTACAACTTCAAAAATAAGCACAACTGGTTGACGAATCTATTGTGAACAGCAGTGCACTGTGAAGAGTGTGTTATGGAAAATGATAGGGTTCCTTTTTCTGGTGAACCTCACACTCGTTAGAGTTGAAATTTGCTATGTCCAATCCTGTCCGAAAGTTCTAGTTTATCATAATGTGTCTGTCACTTTATAGTCAGTTATACTATTGTGTCACCCTATCATACCCTTACATTACTTTTGGCTGTTTCTGGCAAGACATTGATATATGCCAAAAACAGGAAGGGTCCAACATGATACTGAGGGACACTGGATAAGATTGATAAGACCAATGACCTTCAAATGCAACCCCCTGGTTCTGGTTGGTCAAAAAAGACCTAATCCAGAATGACACTTGTTGGTTGTCTTGACACCCATATTTTTGTTTGTGTATAAACCTGTAACTTTGTCAAAAAACTTTATTGTCCTTTGTCTTGGATGTCAAAGACCTCTGAAGAGAAACTTAGAAACTGAGTTTTGTAACTATGTTTAGTAAGACGGGAACCATGTTGATTGGGGATGAAGATACTGTGCTTATCAATGTAAATCATCAGGTTTAAGACTCTTTTTAATGGTATTTACTCAACACAGGATTACATCAAGATTACGAAGATGCTGAAAAAAATTAAATAGTGATGCTGACCCTGTATAAAAATATTAGTTTTATTTAAAGGTATAATTATGTATATATTAAACATATTTCATAATAGCTCTATGAATAATTTCATCCTTCTATTAAAATTATAAACATTCAATAATTATAACTAGTTACTTTTTTAATTCAGCAAGTTTATGGTTGTGTATAAAGTAACAACATACATGATACATTAGCTTAGAGTTCACTAGACTGTACGTAACTTTGTAGTTTAAAGTCTTCAGCATTACAGGTTACATTCTATGACATGACGTGAATGCCACATCAGACAAAAGAAAAAATGTTTAAAATGTGGATTTTAAAGTTTTGGAAGCCAGAACTAGACTACATGTGAAATCATATGTATGCAGATTAAACTAAAAGAAAATGGAATGAACATTATTTTATGTATCCATGTTTTAGGCTATACCATGATATATTCAAAGTCTTAAACGTTAATCTGACTAACCATAGTAGATTACACCTTTTTGATAAATTCAAAATTTATTAACATTAGAAACCGTAATCATTTTTGGCGTTTTATTTGCATTTGCACAAAATTTTGACACATTAACATTTTTTTTTATACAGGCATCAAATAACCAGCTCTTTTCGTGCATGGAAAAATAACTGAAAAGAAGAAAAAGGCTGACTTACTGCTCTAAATATTTTCCATGGGCCCGTCAGCTTTTTTTCCGGAGGAGATTTTATCATCCAACCCGAGTAAACTACGTGGTTCATTTCTTTCTTATGGCTCATTAACCTTTGTTTAACATTATCTTCAAAGTTAAAATGCAGCTGTCACTTTTAAAAGCATGTAAATAAGTGAAATAATGCCAAAATTGTAAAAATTTGTTCCAAACTAATTGTTTTTCTTAAAAATGGCTCACACCCGGAAGTACGTCAAGTTGAGAGTAAGTAATTCCTAACGCTATATCTGATTGGACAAAACGAAAGTAGAATATAATTTTATCCAATGAGAAAACTCGTAATAACTGCTTAGTGTTGACTAAAAGTCATAGGTCAAATTGCTGTCAACAGAACAGTTGTAGGTATTTTAATATTTATTTTCTGTTTTGAATTCAGATCGTGTTATTGTAGATGTTTATATTTAGTACATACGGAAGTTAATGAGTGAACCAAAAAAGTAGAAATCGCTTGAATGCTTAAAACAGATTGATTTTCTAAGGTAAAAAATAACTGTGATATGAATGGTTTAGAAATCTTGCTGTTCTAGTAGAATGATTCATACCACGCTGTGTGAGTCAAGCATGGAACATACATGAAGTATTAATTGGATTTATCCTCTTCATCATACTTCCCTGTTTTTGTTATTTTGATTTGAAAGTTCCTGCATGCCAATTTAATTTGTTAAAGGGTAGGCAGCTGAGTCTGGAAATGTTTGTAAGGTGATACATTGTATCAAGTCACTTTTATTCTACTGTATATCATGAACATGCCTCCAGAACAACAATCAATATTCATGCACAAAATGAAGTAGCTTCCTGCTTAATTGGTAATAATTGTTTCTAATTTGCATTGGCCATCAAGTCAGAATATAAACAAAACAATCTCATCTGCAGTGATAGTGGCAATAGTGCAGTTAAACACTGTCATTGTCAGGGATGGGCCAAAATTTAGAAAAGAGCATTTTAACACAGACCTGTTTTACACATAAGTAAATATGGTTCTTCAATTAAGAAGTAAAAAGAATTACTTTGTGTTATGTCATTAATAAATAATCTTGCACAATTGCCTTCTGTCAGTATTATAGGTACTTTGATTTAGATTGCTGACCCTTAAAGTTACTTTGTAGATATGTATAATGCAGAAATGAAATGAGCCGCGCCATGACAAAACCAACATAATGGGTTTGCGACAAGCATGGATCCAGACCAGCCTGCGCATCCGCACAGTCTGATCAGGATCCATGCTGTTCGCTTACCAACCCTAGGCTATTACAAGTAGAGAAACTGATAGCAAACAGCATGGATCCTGATCAGGATGCGCAGGCTGGTCTGGATCCATGCTGGTCGCAAACCCATTGTCATGACTCGGCTCAAATACATTTTGATGCATATAGGCAATATATATATATACACAGCATTGAATGTCAAGTTTAAAAAATGTACTGTTCTTCATGCCAAAAAAGTAAAACTACATGTACATGTCAATGAATTAATTTAAAAGAATAAAAGTAACATTAGCATCTCCACTCATACTTTCTTTTTTTGTATAAATTAAAAAAATTATCCTGTCCAGCTTAGCTTTTTTATTTTGTTCACAGAATTTTTTTCAGGTTAAAGCAGCACGCCTCCAGATTCACGCTAATTTTCATGAAAATTTTGAAAATGTATTTATACGTTTGATATTGTGAAATATCCAAAAGGAAACAATGGACTCATTATAAATGGCACTTACAACCAACGTAAATTACCAAAAAGCGGTCAAAATATGCATAAATAGCCCTTACTGCGTTAGTAACTCAGTAGAAATAAAGTTGTAAATACTGCAAAATCAGTCATTAACCGCACATGAGATGTAAAATATTACTTGAATCTTGAATCATATTACTTTTCCTAAAACCGTCTTACATATTTCTCAAGTTTAATTTTATTGATACATTTTGACTCATCTGGAGGAAGCATGCACCTTTAGAAAGTCTTGCATAAATGTAGATCAAGTGATGCATTTAATCAGGATTTTTACAAACAAGTTATTTAGTCCAGACTTACATCAAACGAAATTCCAGTCCCTCAAAAAAATTAGCGAAGTCCCTCTATGGTAGATTTAGATACTGAAATTTTGAAGCCAAATTCCTTACTCAAACCTGGTCAGACTACACAGAAATGTTGGCTAGGCAGCTGGGGTAGGAAAGTTATTATTCCACTAATATGTTACAACGGATTAATAATATCTTTATTTCCTCGAAAAGAAGTAAAAGAAAATCAAAAACAAAAAAAGCTACATATGTACTTAAATAAATGACTTTTATAAATGAAGTTAACATTGACTTTCATCACCTTATCATCATCACAGGGCCAATGTGAAAAATTCTGTTGTAAGTTGACTCATGAATGTTAGACAGTTTAGAATAATGAAAGCTAAAATGTAAAGAAAAATGGCTAGTTAAGTTATACAATTAATTATTTTCATAATAACTCTTCAGACTAGGAGATATTTAACTTCCAAAGTATGTTTCTTACAGATACTTCACTTTTGTTTGTTTTTCTTTAGCGTTGAGGAATTTGCGTTCAATAATATTATTGATTTTTATTGATTTACTCTTCAGCTATAACAATGTAGAGAAAACATGTTTGTAGTTGACAACTGATGAATATATAATATATGAAGAAAGTAAGTCACATGACTACAATTATTATTTTACAATATATAATAATAGTGTGAGTATTAAAGTCCACTCATTAAAACCAGAAGTAAATAAATTATTAATAATAATAATTATAATTAGTTCATAATTGTAATAGTCATGATCACAAAAAATTATAAACTATTAGTCCGTCAGTTGTGTTTTGATCAAAAATAAGAAGCGATATTCTATGAAATGTTGGAAATTACAATGGATTCTGAATCTGTTAGTAATGTAGAGTAAATTGGGAACCCACCAGAAAATTTTCAAATATGCGAGAATCAGTATTAGAAACAAGTTTCACCTATGGCCTAAAAGGAAAGATTAAGACCCGGAGGTTTTCAATATAGTGAAATTTCTGATGAAATTAAATGTATAACGCATCTAAGTTTTATACATTTTCAGTGATGCTTAAAAAACTGTTCAATTTTCATTTCCTGCAGTAAAACCTTCCATTATTTGGAAATATTGTTAAATATTAAAATGTTTAGTCTCATGTCAGGAGGATAACAGTTCCGTATAAATTACAGGAACTTAACTATTTATCTATTTCTCAGTATAATATTATTCAGGTTAGAAATTGTTTTAACCAAGTAGTTTGACCTTTTGTAATATGAAAGTAAAGTTAATTATTTGTTCTGACCTTCAAGAAGAAGGTGAAATGTAAAGGTCACAGTTGTTAAATATTAATATATCCATGTCTTTACATACATTATTATAAACTGTCAAAGGTCAAAAACATTTCATTTTTGTGCCCCCACGTTAGTGGCGGGCATTTAGATTTACCCTTGTCCGTCCTTCCGTCCGTCCGTCCGTTCACTTTTGTGTCGCACTTAACTCAAAAAGTATTTGACCTAGAGTCATGAAACTTTACAGGAATGTTGATCAGCATCTGTAGTTGTGCACCTGGGTATTTTGGTCTGGATATTTTTAGTATTTTCAGAGTTATTGCCCTTGACTTAGTAAAATTTTGCAATTTTCACTTGTGTCGCATGTAACTCAAAAAGTATTTGACCTACAGTCATGAAACTTTACAGGAATGTTGATCAGCATGTGTAGTTGTGCACCTGGGTATTTTCGTCTGGATATTTTTAGTATTTTCAGAGTTATTGCCCTTGACTTAGTAAAATTTTGCAATTTTCAACTTGTGTCGCACGTAACTCAAAAAGTATTTGACCTAGAGTCATGAAACTTTACAGGAATGTTGATCAGAATGTGTAGTTGTGCACCTGGGTATTTTCGTGTGCATATTTTTAGTATTTTTAGAGTTATTGCCCTTGACTTAGTAAAATTTTGCAATTTTCAACTTGTGTCGCACATAACTCAAAAAGTATTTGACCTAGAGTCATGAAACTTTACAGGAATGTTGATCAGCATGTGTAGTTGTGCACCTGGGTATTTTCGTCTGGATATTTTTAGTATTTTCAGAGTTATTGCCCTTGACTTAGTAAAATTTGGCAATTTTCAACATGTGTCGCACATAACTCAAAAAGTATTTGACCTAGAGTCATGTAACTTTACAGGAATATTGATTAGCATGTGCAGTTGTGCACCAGGTATTTTCGTCTGGATTTATTTAGTATTTTTAGAGTTATTGCCCTTCACTTAGAAAATTTTTGCAATTTTCAACTTGTGTCGCAAGTTTCTCAAAAAGGATTTGACATAGTCAATAAACCTTATGGGCAGGTTGCTCAGCATATTTTAGATTTGCACCTGGGGTTTCGCTTGTGGATTTATCCAGTATTTGTAGAGTTATTTCCCTTGACTTAGTAAAAAGATTGACAGAACAGTGTTGCGGTGGGGGCACCCGTGTCCTATGGACACATTTCTAGTTTAAGCTATGATTAAGAAAGGGTCAGTATGTGACCTACAAGGTGAAAGGTCATCGTAGAAGTTTGGAGTTGGTTATAGAATTTTATTTGATTCAATGTGGCCATACCACGTGACTTTTCGGATACGGAACACGCCGATTTTTCTCCCGACTCAGGTATGTTTTTTATTCATAACTTATTTATTACTCAACCGATTTTGATGAGATAAGGCGCAGAGTACCCGTAATTATATCAGTTATCCACGGTATATTAAAATTCTGAAAACCTCTGAATGGTTTTTGAGAACATTCGAGTACAGTTTTCTTTTCATAGCCTGGGCCGAGGGGAACGGTACACACTCATTTGGCATAACAGGCGATTTCTAGCAAGTCATATGTTTTTTGACACTATTTCATAGAAAAATACATGTTAAATCTGATATATTTACTATGTCCAACGTATCGAGTGAATGCAGTCATGTTTTAGCATATTTTCATAAAGTGATGTTGAAATGATACGGAACACACTGTTATTTCAAAAGATACGGTACACACACAATTTCTGTCTTTGAAACAATTCTAAAATAAAATATATAAAAAAATTAATTTAAATTATAATGTGACTGATTTTTTTCATAGTTATACATTTTATTAATTTAAACGAGAACCCTGGGACCTGTTTTGCAAAGTATCATTATGCCTACAGTTTGATGTAAACAGGATTATTCAAAACATAAAAGAACATTTTGAGAGTACGTTGCGCAAAATTCGATTTTATATGTTGAGCAACTATAAAATGTTAAAATTTTATGGAGGGATACGGAAGACATTCAAAATTTTGTTTTGTTTTGATTTTCATTTGAAACAA